CCAGAGAGAGACAGCCAGAGAGAGACAGCCAGAGAGAGACAGCCAGATTCTTGGTTAGATAAGAGTGAGGGGTAACATGACTGAAGTGTGCAAGATCTTGAATGCTTTTGACAAGGTGGACTCAAAGTATATTTCCTTTTGTGGTTGGTGGCTGCGTTGGGAGGAGCACTGTTTAGAAGTTAGGGATTGGCCTTTAAAGGATAGAAATGAAGAGTTTTTTTTTTGCTGAGGCTTGTGCACATTTGAAATTTCTTGCATCAGAAGGTGGTAAGGGCAGGGTCATTGAAAATTTAAGGCAAAAGATAGATAGATTCTTGTTAGGCAAGGGAATCTAAGGCTGTCAGGGTTACATGGCATGACGGAATTCAAAACACAAACCAACCAGCTGTGACCTTATTCAATGACACAGCAGGCTTGAGGGGCCAAATGGCTTACTTCCGCTCCTAATCTGTATATTCATAGTACGAACATATTCTCTGTTACTGCAATTTGATCTCTTTTGCCCCTGTATACTTTGATGATGGTTCCATTAATAAATTCCAATGGCAAGCATTTCATCAGTGAGAGAGAATAAAGAGGACAAAATCTCCTAGTATGTGGTCAAAATATGCAGGATAACCTACAAAACTGGAAATGTGGAGTGGATTAGCTATATTTGTAATAAATTTTTAAAAAGTGATTTTGACTGAATAAGTCAAAGTGAAACTGGAACACCTAGATTTTAACAAAGAGGGTTTTAAAAGAAACAGTGCTCTAAATTGTTTACTGGAGTCTACTTTAATTTTAGCTATTCCTGGCATTCCATTCAACAGGCAAGCTAACTTCAGTTTCACAAAGACTATAGTTTTAATATATTTCAAGTTGGTTGAAGGACACTTAAAAATAAGATACAAACAAAAAAAAATGCGTCAATGCAGCTACCCCTTCAAAGCAACGTGATAATGGTAGCTCAGTGCAGATAACGCAAAAGTGTAACTTTGCTCGTTAAAAGTCACAGTACCCATTAGAAAAGATTGCACTGATGTCATATTACATTCCCAACACTGAACCAGTTTCATGATTTCTGTTGCCAAAAGTTACTTTCCTCACGTTGAACTAGATATACCAGTACATTTCAACATTCGTCCCTTCCCAGTCTTTTGTTTCCCATTCCAGACTCTTATCATTGGCATACATGAACCATTTTCATGCAATCTCCCTGTAATAGCTTCTCAGCACCAATACACTCCATATTACATGGAGAATTTTACAAGTGTAGCATACACATCTTCAGTATAAACAAGAAACTAAATAAAAAAAAAAAAAAAATCAATGGATCACAGAAGAATTACTAAACTCCAAGAAAAACAGTAAACTGATGAAATGCACAAATATCAGCATTAAATAGTTTCTCATTTTTAATTCTCTGTGGCTTAGACTGGTGCGATATAGAAGTTTCCAGTTTATTTAAATTCATGATTACACTTCAAAATTTAGATTAAAAAAAAACATAGCTGAGATCAGGTCACAAGGAAATTTAGCTCCCTGAATGGAAATGAAGCATTCAACAGCAGCTACAACTTCCAGCAATAACACATACAAGCGAACAACATGTCAATTCAAAAGGTTCCATTTTGTTCGCAGAGGGAACATGATAATACCTGTTCAGCTGAATAACTTGTCACGTCAAGGATTTCCTTCTACAAGCAAAAGTGTAGATGTAAATAAAAGTAACTACTGAAGACCAAAACACCATTCCACGATCTCAGGCACTGAATTTCCCTCTGCTTAGCCAAAGTAAAATAAAAAAAAAAAAAAAAACAAAAAACTTATATACATATACTGGCCCCCACATTCTCTCATCTCCTTTAAGGATAGGGTGGAAGGAATCTGGAAAGATGATTACAAAAAACAAACAAAAAAGTAGAAACAACAGGAACTCAGTTTGTTTACTTTAATGTCTTCTCATCCACTTAAAACCAGCCATCTCTTTCCAGATAATCTTAGAAGTTGAAAACATCTTAATGCCTGTGAGTTTTTGAAACTCTGACCAAGTACATTTTGCCAAATGGTCTCCCAACAATAAGAAAATAATCTGGGTTTGAAAGTTATGTTTGATTTCAATACCCATGGTGCACTCAAAACCAAAATGAGTGCACAAATTCCAAGCTCGTGTCTGAAACACAAAAAATATTATCAGATAGTACATGACTCTAGAAAACACACTTCGCAATCCTGTTTGGTTTCCTGAGATACAGATGCACATACATTTTCAATCATTTCACTGTTCTGCAGTATTGTAATAGCCAAACAGATACTCAAATCTGTGCAATAGCTTCTCTTATCCAAACTGTATTAACTATACACACATGTTCACAGCATCCACCCTAGAAGCAATCAGGGGTAGGATAAAATTAAAGGATGAAGCAATCATTTTGTACATGTGTGACTATCATTTTGGACTGAAATCAGAAAAGAATGACATCCCATCATGTTCACATGTAACAGTGTGCGTGCAGGGGAGAAAACAACTTGTAACGTTGCCCTCTGTTGACATCTTGAGGGAAAGGAGAACAGACATTGCCCGTATCAGAATTAAATTCCTTGTACCATTGCAAAAGTACACACAAGCCAAAAACAATTCACGTAGAATCATTCACATTGAGGTGTCAAAATATTGACAGGCTGCAATTACTTTTTAAACAAAAGCTTAAAACATGTTGAAATGGCAAAAAAAAAAACAACTCTGTATACAGCCAAGTGCATTTTGATGAGAAGCTCTTGTTCAAAAAAAAATGTATTCTTAAATGGTTCTCCCGCTCAGTCCATTGATTTTTTTTAAAACTATGTTTAGATGGCATCTCTGCATTATCTCCAAAAATGGACAGGATTAAACACTGAAGGTTAAAAACTGAGTTTCTATTCATCCGATCCCACAGTTCTCTTCGCTCGCTTACGGGGTGACCTCCTTGGGGAAGTTTTGTCTGTGGAGAAATAAAATTAATCCATAATTAGAACGGCTGCAATTTACAGAATGTCTGCTGCTAGATAAATTCTGAAGTACAAATCAAATTTTTGGAAGTGTTATATGACAATATAGCACCTAAACTCAGTAAGACAGATAAATTAGTCATTTGCCATCCAGGAGATAAAAAGGCAAGGCAATTAGCTGTAAGTCAAAGGACTACAGGCAGTTTTGTACATTAGAGTCAAGAGAATTGTTACATACAATTGGAAAGGCAACATGTCAAACACAGGGCTGGGTGAGGAGGTAATCCCTCAAATGAAATACCAGAGCTGGAATGGAGATTCAACGGGCACCATTGGCACAATTCTGCATTAGGCTCTAGCCACCTAACTAACCCCCTTTCATCTATGAAGTTTAAAAACAAATCGTGGTGTCACTTTTCATTTCATTCCTTTCTTCCCCCACGGTTAAGGCAGGGTTAAACAAGGGGCAAATGGTCTGTTTTCTGCCTCCTGTTACTGATACTCCACACACAAAAAAATATGCATTTGTGTGGCAATTTTTCCTTTCCTCATGAAACTGCACAGGTCTATTGTGGAGACCAAGAATACAAAGGAATTTCACTTGCACCTGATGAACTGAACATTGTTTAAGCTAAAACGCTCTTTGCTGAACAGGCATCTTAATTTCCAGACTAAATCAGGACTCTCAGTCATTTCAAAGCTAATTGAATGGTTGTAACACAAATACTTTCATTCAGTACTTGTTCATGTCAAAATTAACTTCAGGTTGCTAAACAGTAATATACTTTTTCAAAATAAACATTTACAAATGCAATGCCAACAAGGTGATGAGAAAGGAACCCAATTTTTATATCATTGTTAGTGGGGGAAAAAAAGTCAAATGCCTACAGTCAAATATCATGAACCTGGAACATATTTTGGCTCCACCATTTAATTGCTGGAAGATCTGCATCTGATCAAATAGGTTCCGAAATTTGACTGTCATAATTAAAGTTAAAATACTGGATTGCAGTATGCAAAAATAATGTCAGACCCACAAGTATTTATTTAGTGCCATTTAGACTTGCTCTCATTTTTATGAAGCTCTGTTCCACTAAAAAGTCAATACGATAAGTGAATATGAAGGGCTAATTTTCTAACAGTTGTCAGTCCTAGACACAAATTTATGGTGACTACACACTAATTGAAAGCAAAAAAAACAAACTAAAGGCACGTAGCTTTAAACATCTGTAGAATTTGATACCATATAATTTTATTCAGCTTAATCTCTTTTGATGCTACACAAGCATACTATAGTATTGCCCTTGCGTTCAACAGTGTATTCAGAAGGCCCACAACCATGAAAGAGACAGACTTGCACTTAAATAGCACTCATGATGTCAATGTCCCAAAGTACTTTATAGCCATGGAATTACTTTTGAAATGTTGTCACTGTTGTAATATAGGAAATGTTGCAGCCAATTTGCTCACAGCAAGTGCCTACAACAGCAACATGATAATGAAGTGATAATCTGTTCTTAGTAATATTGATTCGAGGGTAAATATCAGCTAGGATATTGGGGAGAACTCTCCTGCTCTTCTGCTATGTTGCACTATAGAATCTTTCAGACATTCACTTGAGATGGGGAAAGAGGAGCATTTGGTTTAACTATCCAAACCAAAAGGCAGCGACTTGAACAGTACAGTTGTCCCTCAGTACTACACTGTAGTGTCAGCCCTAGTTGTGTTCAAATCCTGATGCTGGACTTGAACCCTTCTGACTTGAAAAAAAAAAGTGTCCTACCAATGGAGCCTTGCCTGGCAGATCAGTGGTACTACTATTGGCTCTGCGTTCTTTTTCCCTTCATTATAGATTAAATAATAATTTTCCACAATGTGCCACCCTGTTTCCCCACAAAGTAGAGCACCTGAAGACCATGAAAGTGGAAACATGAAAACAGTATCAGCAACCTTATCAAGAAGTGACTTTTCTACATGAATGGAAGAGATCATGCTGAATAAAACAATAGATTGTACCAAACAGAAAATTGGCATGGTAAGGAATACAAAGCAGAAATCATGCATCTCTGGTTATATTTTTATTACTGATTCCAAGTCCATTTAACAATACTGTATCCAAAATTTTAACATGTAGCCCACCCAACGGCCAAAAAAAAAAGCAGTTTTCCAACCTCAATTTTGAGCTTTTAGTAAAATATACAGGAATAATGGAAACATTTGATCTCACCTCGTCTACTCTGCACTGAAGGCATAAGAAAGGCAAAGCAAAAGATAGCAAATATATTAGAATCAATGTCTCAGATATCAATTTCTGTTGAAACAAAGACTCGGAAGAATAGTTTCATAAAAGAGCAGCAAGATGGGCATTTCTCAAATTTGGCAGAAATGCTTCCACTCAAACATGCAGAAAGCCAGCTTCAGAGGCATTCTTATCATAATTAATAAGCACATGCTAGCAGCAGAGACTCAAAGCATAAGTGACAGCACTTGAAAAGCTACTTTGATACAATTCAGATTTACGTTCAGTAATGCAGCTACCATTTTTTTGGTGGGGAGAGGGGTTCCAGATGCATGGAATCTCTTTCACAGCAATTTGCTGCTTGGCTGAAGAGTTTACGTTCGTTTTAAGTGGGTTACGAGGGTCAGTCTAGACCCTATGGTTATTGCTGTTTTGAAACAAAGATCAACAAACCAGCATATTCTGAATACATCACATACCCTGGTTGTATAGGTTTATGATTATTGGCAAGATTACTTTCGGTGACATTAATCAAATCAGTGCTGTTTGAAAATCCATTCCTTTCTAACGCAGCAATTTCTTAAATTGTTAAGTAATAGGAATTAGATGGGCAGGGAATAAAAATGAAAGGGTATAAAAGGCCCTAACTGCATTTAGTTACAAGACAACAAAACAATGTACAAGAAAGCTATAAATTACTGAAATTTTAAAATTAAATAGTACATATTTTGGACAAAGGACAGGCTGACAAATAAAAATACCACCACTCAAGACAGCAGTAGCAACAATGCAGCCACAACAGATTCATCTACATTCAGTCAGCAACATTTGTAGCTGCATAAATGGGAGATTCATCTCATGCAAAGCAAAGTATGGTAGATTAGAAGGGCCACTTAAACATGCTGCAATACCAATACATACGCACATGTACAAACCGATTAGTGGTACAAAAAGTATACTGAACAGAATGATGGGAATTCTGCAGCAGAATTCAAATTAAGATTCCCAAACCCCATTAAAAAGGAGAGAGGAGGGCAATATATGTATGATTCAAAATATCTTTTCTCCCTAATCTTAATTAGTGCAACTGTCAATTTATGATAGTTTCTTACAAGTCACAATTATATCAGACTCCTGCACGGATGCATTTCTGTAGGCAAGGAAATTCTTTATACACTTACCCATTTTACACTTTAAAAAAAAACAATGGAACATTATTCTCAAATGATAATGCCAGAGTTGGTTTCTGATTTATCAGCATCATAATTTTAAAATAACTAACATAAATTTAATGGCAAACACCAAACAAAACAAAGCCAGGCAATAAAGCAGTTCTGATGTCGAACCTGGAACCAAAACTGTCCACATTCAGATCTTTTCATAAACCTGTATGTTACTTACTGATTTGATTTAAGGTTTCCTGAGGAATCCAACTCATGTCTACATTATTGTGGTTAGATGTACCCATTTCTACTTTGGAAGTTGGTCGTCTTCTCTGATTGGGAAAAGAAAACGGATGTTAAAGGCACCAAATACACTAGATTTCACCAAACAAACAGTTTAAGAGGACTGCTATTGTCCATGTGAACATTTTAATTCAGCTGAAGTTACAGGGTGAAAGTGAGGACACAACAAGAATTACAACAAAGTCTGAATGTAAATCATAGTAAGCATGAGGTTTAATATAAAACTGGATGGTAGAATCCACTAAAATTCTTCATTTTGAGCATTAAAGAACATCCAAGGATGGCTAAGTGGCAGAGTTAAACAAATACAGTGCTACTGCTTTCCAAGGCAGTCAACTGGGGCACAGATGGACTAAAGAGATGAAGCGAAAAGAAAAAAAAAAGACAACTGTAACAGCAGGTTCAGCAGCATGATCAAAAGGTGTGCAATTCATATTTATTCTGGTTAAGTCAGATTAGGATCAGAATCACATTGCAGAAACCATCTTCTGACGGTTGTAGAAACATGCATCAATATTGAAATTGTCAACCCTGTCGACTTCTGTTTCATGGCCAAACGTCAAATGTTTACCTATGTAGTGTCACAACTCCAATTAATTCAAGTTAATTGGTTTGATCAATTAAATTAGCACAAATACTTCATGAAATAAAAGAACATTTTCATTAGAACCATACAAGCTGTAATAAAGTCAAACGTAATGGATAAATTAATCAATTTATTTAAAAAGTACAGCTATGTTGCAAAGTTACTTTACTATCTGATGTTCATTACTTTTCCATTAAATACATAGAATCTAACTGGATATTTAAAAAAAATCAACATAATCAAAAGGTAGTACTTGAAATGCTAGTTTTTTTTGTGGTCACTGCACCTGAGTTGTACCTGACGTGGCTAATTTCGCGTGTCACTGTGCAAACATCAGTATCACAGAGGCTACTTTAGGTTTCAACACTTATCTCTGGAGAACACCAGCTACAAGATACATTTTGCAGCTCCAGATACCAAAATGAAATGCCAGAAGTTAAATCCAACGAATTGACGTACTTTTCTAGATTCCAGAAGCTGATGGATACCAACCACAACAAGTAAACCAAGACCAGTCAGGAACATGTACAGGAAGATTCTAGAAATAAAAGTGCTAAATATTAAATTCTATACCTGGATTGAATGGAGAGAGTTTCAGTTAGGAAAAAAAACACATGATTTTCAAACAGGTTTCAAAGGCCTATGCCAAAGATAAATTCAGAAGTCACATTGACATAGGGTGGTGAGATGCATACACATGGATTCCATCGTCTCATTGTCACTCTTCATGTCTACCAGGAGTCAGTTACCATAGTACTGACAGTCAATTCAATACAAGCATGACTAATCTGATTATGGTCCCGACTCCACATTCCTGTCTCCTCCCAATAACCTTAGACATTTGACTACCGAAGGAATCAATCTACTTTGCTTTAACTGCTCTGTGCAAAAGGGTCTCAGATTCAGAACCCCCAAAAACCATTCCAACCTATATGTCTTAAAAAGGGAAAACCTGGGGTCATTTTAAATGCAAACAAGTAATCAAATGTCTGATTGTTGAGAAAGTGTTGACTGGTTTTAAATAACTTCAATATGAAGTTTGTTAATCCATTCAGCTAGATAATATTTCATTCAAAACCTCAAACTCATTGAATTCTATTGTGTAGCTAAGCTAAAATATCACTCGAGATTGTCCAAACAAATTACACTGTGGCATGAGGTTGGGAGAAAGATTGCCCACATGCTTTAGAGTTTGGCAGACCATCTCCCCCCCCACAAGAGACATTTTCAGTTAAAATTAAATATTATCCGTCTAAGTGGATTTCTCCAACATTGAAACCAGAAGGTAAATGTGGGTCATGATGAACTTTAGCCATAATAACATTTACACACTAAATATCACTGTCCTACAACACCCTTTCAACTTTTAATTAAGTCATTTAATAATGAAAAAAGTCTTTTGAAGCTTTTCCGGTTTAACCGGTTCCAAGGCTAGTGCAGATGAAACCAGATGGACTTTGTTCACAAAATTGGAAGTTTTTGGGAGCTAAACAGGATTAATCACTTCTCCAACATAAGTATTATAATGCAGGTTGTACCTCCCTAATTCCACAGTCTGCGGTCCAGCACGCAGTACTTTCTGCTTCTCCCTTTGGTGGCATCTAGGAACTCGGCATCAATCTTTATTACTTTTCGTTACACTTTGTCTAGTTTGAATACTCTAAATCCTATTTTTGGCATCCCATTGGAAAATCATTTATCCATTAGGCATGTGATTGACAAGTCAAGATGAGATCTCCACTCAATTGTGGAATTAAGTGTTCGTGCATCAAATATACTTGATATTTTTTTATGGGTTAAAATGTTTCGTCAGGATCTCAGTCACTGACCATAGCACTCCAATCAGGAAGGTGCATTGGATTTATAAATCATTTTGAACTGGACACATTACCTCCCAAGGTCTGGGAAAGGTCCAGTCTAGATGCTGCTGCATTAGGGAGGTACAGTCTGAAATTAGAACTAAAAATAATAACTAGTCAGCAATAGACAACCATTCAACCCAATTCCACAAATCACTTACAATCCTTGTGTAAAAACAAAAGAGATACATCTCTCAAACACTTACGTTTCTCCATCCAACCCATCTTCTCGCTCAGTTATCGTGACTGTCTGGTTGAACACAGCATCACGGTAAATATTACCCTAAAAGGGCAGGAGAATATCACTCAGATACAGCAACCAAACTGCAGACACCATTTTACAGCCCTGTTACACAACCCTCCTCAAAATAAAAACCAATAGATTGAGGTGGAAGCACTTACAGTGGCATCCCTGTAGTTCAGGTTAATTACCAATCCAAATGGCCGGCCGCCCATTGGTTCAGCAGGGATAAATGAATACTCAAATGTAGCTTGGCGCTGGGACTGCACCAATGTGTTCAGTTGTAGCGCTGTGAACTGCAATAGAAGAGAGACACTTGCATTATTCTCCAGTTGCAACATTCTCTTGCATTATTCTGCACTACAGGTGAAGGACATACTTTGGTCAAGAAGGGAATGCTCTGCTGCAAGAATGTCAGCATCCAAATGGGCTGAAGTTTATATGGTGAGCTACATTAGAAATCTGTTGAAATCAAGGTTTGAATGAGGTGCTACAGAATTTAATGGATTCCACTTTCAACAGTTAATAAGATGGCTGAAACGTATGCAAGATCACTTGACCACTGACCTGATTTGATTTCAGTTAAAAGTTTTCACATCACGTGTCAGATGCATCTAATTTAATTTAGTCATGAGGACTCATTGAAAAAGTTAAGTGCTTACATTCTGAATATAGAACTGATAATCCTGAGGATAACGAAATGAGGCATCCAAAGATTCCACAACAAATTCTTCATTGCCCTTATTGGTAAAACCAACCAAGAATTTCACAATGTTGTTAGCTGGGAAATCTAAAAGACAGGAAAGAATGCATATTTGTTTAAAACAACTACACAATAACTTTCAAACGCCCCCCAAATGTGCAGTCGGGGGGTGGGGTGTGGTGAGGTGAGAATTTAAGATAAGGTTTGCCACAATAGCAAACATGATCCTCAAAAAAAAAAATTTGAAAGCAATAAATTGATAATTTAAAATGGGTAATTAAGCAAATGATAAGAATAACCAAGCATCAAAGCTTAATCATAAAGCCATTTATACCTTTTTAGTTAAAAAGCAGAGTTAGAGAGAGAGACAGAGACAGAGACAGAGACACAATTCACAATCACTAGGGGTGGCAGTTAAACAACTGGAGCCAAGCTAAGGAGTTAGTGAAATCTAACACTGAATTTGGGTTGTCTTTGATGGGACACACTCCGAGCTGGCATCGGTACAATTCACTCAAAAGCAGGGGGTAGGGGGGCCTTGGGAGTGGGTTGACTTTTGGCCTTTCGTTTCCTCCCTTCCTCTGGCTTCTTTCTTTCTACCACATACTCATTCTTCTGTCACCCCTTTCTCTATGACACTCACTATTATTCTGTCCCTTTTAATGCCAAATATAAAAAAATCAACTTTGTTTTACACTCCAAAAATTTTCACGAGCGCTATTATCCTAATGTGAAACATTTCATACTGAGATTAAAGTGGGCAAAGTTTTCTTCTCTAGAGACTTAAACTTAAATGCGATTTGATAAAAGGCTATACTTTTCAAAAAGGAAAAAATTAGAGGAAGCAACCTGGTGGCCTAACATTCATCTCCATATCAACCCTATATTTTCATAATTTACTTTCATGGCCCGACTTGCAGTTCCACTCTACCATCTGATTGTCAGTGCCTTTGAGTGGTGGGACCCTCTTCTCCTTCCCCTCCGAAGTCAGAGTGTAACCAATAACCTCTTACTCCCAGACCCAGCCCCAGCCCCAGAGCAGGACTCCTGGAACAGACTGGGACGTGGGGGAATTGGTGTTCCAGGAGTCCGGACTGGAGACCCCCGGCAACCCCATTCAATGTCGAGCAGAGCAAAAGCAGGGAGAACTGTTTTTAAGTTATATTCTAGGTATATCTTAATATCTTATGTAACTCAAAATGGTGCCACAGTGTGGCGACATATATTTTTCACTGCATTTGTTAAAATACAAGTGACAATAAATCATTCAACTTCAACGTATCCAAGCGTCTACACTTGCTGTAAACAGTCAATTCTAATTTCTTCTAGTTCTGATGAAAAGGTATCAAGACGAAATATAAACACTCTGCAACTAGGGATGGACAATAAATGCTGGCCAGCTGGCAATGCCCACATCCCACAAATGAACTGAGTGTTTCCACCATTTTCTAATGTTAAGTGCTTTTGAAGTGCAGTCACTATTGTAATCTAAACACAATAGCAGCCAACTTTTGCACAGCAAAGTCCCACAAACAATAATCAAGTAATCAGATTACATGACACAAGAGTTCAAGAGTTGGCAGGTCATGTTACAGTTGTATAGGACCATATTTGAAATACTGTGTATAGTTCTGGTTGCCACATTACCAAAAGGATGTGGATGCTTTGGAGAGGGCACAGAGGAGGATCACCAGGATGTTGCCTGGTATGGAGGGCGCTAGCTATGAAGAGATGTTGAGTAGATTAGGAATATTTACATTAGATAGACGGAGGTTGAGGGGGGACCTGATTGAGGTCTACAAAATCATGAGGTATAGGCAGGGTGGATAGCAAGAAGCTTTTTCCCAGAATGGGGGACTCAATTACTAGGGGTCACGATTTCAAGGTGAGAGGGGAAAAGTTTAAGGAAGATATGCGTGGAAAGTTCTTTACACAGAGGGTGGTGGATGCCTGGAACATGTTGCCAGCAGAGGTGGTAGAGGCGGGCACGATAGCATCATTTAAGATGTATCTAGACAGATACGTGAATGGGCAGGGAGCAGTGGGATACAGATCCTTGGAAAATAGGTGACAGGTTTAGATAGAGGATCTGGATCCGCGCAGGCTTGGAGGGATGAAGGGCCTGTTCTTGTGCTGTAATTTTGTTTGTTCTTTTGTTCTTTGACACTCTATAAACAATGGTAACGGCCAAGTCACTAGGAGAATTCCTTGCTCATCTTTAAATGATACCATGGGATCTTTCACGTTCATGTGGGTGAGCAGACAAGGCTTCGAATGAATCTCTTATCCAAAAAGGGAACAAATGCAGTACTTCCTCCACACTGTGGGAGGATCAACTCTGATTTTGTTCTGGGAGTCTCTGGAAGGAAGTTAAGACTGCAACCTTCTGACTAGAGGCAAGCGTACTAACTCGGAGTCAACACTTAAGAGAATGTGCATAATGAAATAGAATCCAAAGGAATGTGGAGAACTCAGTGATGTATTTACAACAGATAAAATTTAAGAGATTTAGCACAGCTGGAAATCATAGATGTGAATAGCTAAGGAATATTGAACAGCAAGAGTTTAAAAAGCTTGTAAAATAGACACTGAGCTTAAACAGGAAGGGCAGTCAATTTAACAGTGTGATCAACACGGTTTCTATTGAATATGTAAACTGCTCAACACTATACTTTTGGCATTTGTAGATTAGATAGCTTAATGTATCTTATACTTGCAATTGTTTTCCCTACCTTCTCCCTTCACAAACAGAATAGTTGTGTCAGCATTGGGAGAAGCTTTGGGTTCTCCAGATGTCAAGTCATCTTCTTCCTCCTCCTCTTCCTCTTCTTTCTCATCTTCCATCTACATTGGCGAAGATGATCACATTATCACTACACAAAAAAAGCTACTGAAAACAGAAGAGATTATTCGCAGCTCTTGAAGCTGCCCAACAATATGCTCAGGTTTTCTCAGTCAAGAACATCCTCAGATAATGAATGATGGGTACCTGGCCTATTCTGTTCAATTCAAATTATGTGATTTTTTTTTGCTCCAAGTCAATCTGGTCAGAGATGTTATTAAATGGCTCTGGTGCAGGTGGGTCTTGGATTCAGTCCCCCTTGGTTGAGAAGTCGGGACACTACCACAGCACCATGTGAGTCCTAAATTAAGTTATAGTATCAAATGCTGAAATGGCAAACACCTGTCAAATCAAAAGTGAGCACACAATTATGCTAGCAGTCAAGAAAATCTTGCGTGTTTCAAAAGTTTAAGCTTTTGAATCATGGCCAAAAGCTAACATCTTAAATTCTTAAGTGAATTAGACTAAATCCAAACCAGGTGAGTGTTAATTGAAATGACAAAAGCAAAGAAAAATTAGATATTATAAGTACATTGTAAAAGTTGCTTAATTGTGAACATGCACACACGAATATCCATTGTCAATTTTTAAAGAGAAACTGTTCTCTGGAACGTTGAATAGAAACGCAATCACCGCACAGAAGGCACTATACACAACAAATTTTAAATCCACATCTTCAATCATGACCATACAAGAGGTTATGGCAATGATGAAAATGTATGATCAGAAATGCCATGAATGTGAAGCCCTTGCATTTTACATTAGGCTAGAACTGAAAAACTCACAACGTCTGTTGGCTCATCCTCTTCTATTTCCGCTTCATCATCTTCATCTTCCACGACAGAATCATCAATACCTTCCTCATCCTCTGTTGGATCATCTGCAGCAACAAGAAGTCTTGCCCCTGTTGATCCCAAACAAGAGTATATTACTTTCATGAAAGCTATTTTTTACATTGAGACAGAAATTTTGAAGAGATGAAAGATATGTTAAATTTTAAATATTGCTACACTTGCAGGCACACTTTCCATTTCCTCAGCACTGTGCAATCTGCTTATGTGGACTTGTGCAAGTTTACTTCTGTCAACATTTATTCTAAATCAATCCAATCAATGACAGTATTATTAAACAGCCCATCCTAAATTCTGAAACAAGCATCTTGGATGGATTACTTCCATTATGGTACTTGCTGTGACTCAAGAATCAATAGCTGAAAATAATTTATGCAAGAGTAAGGAATTAAAGGCAGACCGCACTGAAGTTTACAAAAAACAGAAGTTGCTGGAAAAGCTCAGCAGGTCTGGCAGCATCTGTGAAGAAAAAAATCAGAGTTAACATTTCAGGTCCAGTGACCCTTCCTCTGAACTGAAGTTTAGTTCTTTCCTCTCCCCAATCACTTAAGACTTTTGATTTCCTTCGAGTTTCGATTAGCTTTTGATA